TTTTACATCAACGTGGCAACAATGCTTTGAAGAAGCCAGACAACCCGAGAGATTTTGGCTTTTGAGAACCCAGGGAATCCTCGGGAATATTTACCGTAATTTCGAGGAGTTTTTTCTTACATGCATACCAAACCAAACTACCACTGCGTTTGTTAACTTTTTTCCAACTTTGTCCAGAATCCATAATAGCTGTGATTGAGTATACGCGTACGTAGATATTACTTTTGCAGCAACAACAATAACAAAATAAATAACTAGGTATACCATTTAATTTAAAATGAGGTTATATTATACATTACCAGTTTTATAATGCAGATATTACAGTGAATTTATTTTGTTAATCACAATTTTATCATATAAGGCTATATAACTGGTGTTGTATACAGCAACGTAGTTTAACGCAATAAAACATTCTATCATACAACGTAATACAACTTTATTAAGACAAGTTTAAGTAACTATTATATGATCTTGTGACTACTAGTTATATGAATATTATAGAACTCTTACATGGTGGGTATAAGAGTCTAATAAAAAAATATGTTTGTTATCATATAGCATTGTCTTATTAAGTGTTATATCATACTAAAAGAAATGATCGTTTAATGCGTTATAGGATACGTTGTAAAAACCACTAGAAAATAGTTTAATATGACAACTTTTATTCAAAAACAGAATGGTCGAAACCAAACGCTTAATAAAATCAAGCAGTCCGTAAGACAACGCTATACGACTGTTATAAAATAATTCAATCGTTTTAGAATTTCTTTTTGCTACTTGGGATCCCATTGGCACTTTATATGTCAGCATATATATGTTGTGTATGTTTATTCTATTAAGTATCAAATCTGGATGCACAAAAATTGTGTGGTAGAGTTCAATACAGGTCAATACAAGGAATTGTATTACACATTTAAATTTAAAGTTGTTATATTTTTGTTTTTTTTTATAATTTTCCCTACATAAGAATCACTTATACAACAATCGCGACTTATTTTACGGCTAGAAGTTTCCGGACCTATTTCAATCTGAGCTGATATATTAACATCATTAAGCCTTTTAAAATATTGCCATCTTACTTTTAAAGTTTACTTTTAAAGTTTGCTTTTAAAGTACTGCTAAATTTCTTGAAATCCTTGCGAAAATAGTGAGATGAGGCTGTGTCCTTTCACGATACAATGTTCTATAAATTGCGAATGCTATATCGGAATTTCTATTCTAATATTCTTATTCTATAATTTTTAAGTAAACATCATCGAGTTTTTCTTCATTTGTAAACATAGTGTTGACTGTTAATACATTTTACACTATCTATCATAAATTTTTGTGTCCAGGTTTGACACTTAATAGTGTAAACAAAAATTAACTTGCTGTCATATAAAGTGTCAATGGAATTTCCAAGGCAGACTTGATCTTTTGAGCGAATTTTTAAAAAATTTAATTTTTTTAGTGAATTTACATAATAATGAATAAAAAATAGATAGGTACCACCGCATAGATTAATTTTTGCTCTATCTAATAGTATAAAAATTCAAAATGGCGGCCATAAGAAAACAAAAACTTGAAATTGTTTGGAAAAAATCGAAATAAAAATGAAATTTCTATACCCTGTATATCCGAAGCTAAGCATTTTAGGCTGATTTTAGGGCATAAGTTTATTCGAACTTTTTTACTTATTTTTATCTGCAGAATACACTGCTAAAGTTTCCAGAATACAATATGGACCACCTTGTATATGGTGTTTGGACTATACCTGTTCGATGTTGAGATTTGAATACTGGTGTTAGGTGTCGATTTCAACGGGTGTTTCAGTCGGAGTCCAGTGCGAACACCGACACTAATTAATTAAATTTAAATTAAAATTTGCAATATAAATAGTTGAAATCAAAGTTAGTCCCATTATTTTAAAATCGATCAAAGTCATTACAATGCAATAGCTGTCCAAACTAGACCTCCTGTTCTCTACACCGGTGTTCAAATACAGCACCAGTGTTCATCTCAACACCTGTGTTGATCTCGCAACCGGTGTCAATAACAGGTCTAGTTTGGACAAATATTGCATTGTAATGACTGACCGATTTTAAAATAATGGGACTAATTTTGTTGGGACTAAGTGCTGTTAACAAAGAAATAGTACCTAGAATTCAATATTAATAGTGCAATTAGAGCTGTAAATTAAATAATTCACAAAAATACAATAGACGCCTGTCAACTGTATTATTGTCAATATTTAACCACAATTTTTCTAATATGATATCATTTTATACACTGCCTGGTGAACGATTGCAGTGCAAATAATAGAGATTGAAATGTAAGCATATCTACTATTAGTTCACTTTATATCAGGTCTGCGAAAGAAAAGTTTTTGAAAATTGTTTTTATTTTAATGGCTGATTTTTAACTAACTTTGAGCGCTGATTCCAAAAATAAAATTCATTTTTTTCTATCCCGTCTGGTTATCTCACAAAAAAGGACCTACTTTGGGAAAAAAATCAATTAAACAAAGTTTTTAAAATAATTCTTAGGATTTTAGTTTTTATTTTTAACATTAAGGAGTATTACATTTTTTTACATTCATATAACCAAATACTAAAAAAAAGTCATTTAAATTATTCAAAGGTCTTTATAAAACCGCTTTCGCTTGACATCAATACTTCTTTTAGTGCTCTTCTTGCTGTGGGTACGTTCAGGATTGTCTCTTTTTAACATCCAGCAGTAATCTGCTATCATATTGACATTCCATCTTCCTTGATATCATTTCTTTGAGATCTTGGTGAAATCTCTCTCCCTGTTCTTCACTGACATCAAGATTTGAAGGAAAGTAGTCCAGATGGGAGTGGAGCAAATGGATTTTAATGCTCATGTTGCAGTTTCATTTCTGAAAATTGTCCAGCATTGTATCAATGATCGCTTGGTAGTTGGGGTCTTTTTTGTTTCTCAGAAAATTTATGACGACTTGTTTGAAGGATACCCATGCTGCTTTTTCTCTGGCATTCATTTGTTGCTCAAAGATAGCATCCCTAATCAGTTTTCTGATGTCAGGTCCAGTAAATACGCCTTCTTTTAGTTTCGCCTCGGATAAACCAGGAAACTGGATACTCCACAAAGGTATGTAAAACAATTTTCTTCTTTTGGTAATGCCTTCACGAATTGTTTCATTAATCCTAATTTAATGTGCAATGGCGGTAGTAATATCTTATATTAGGATCTATAAAGCTCTCTCTAACAACATTTTTATCTCCAGCCTGCAAAGTTTTTCTCATTGCGCATTCTTTTTTAACACGCAAATCCAATAACATCATTTATCCCACTCGCAAAGAAAGCAAGGAAACTTTGTGTAGCCACTTTGTTGTCCAAGCAACATGGAAATTACTTTTAAATCGCCATAATATATTGCCCATTTGTGATCCAAGGAACCAATTTTGTTTAGTATCAGATCCATATTTTTATAACATTCTTTCAAATGGACTGAATGCCCAACGGGAACTGAAGCATACTTACTGCCATTGTGCAAAAGAAGAGTGATGCAGTTTTGAAAGAATTCCTTGAGCTTGTGCTAGGAATGCTCCAGTGAAAAATAGAATGCTTATTGCAAAAGCAAAATTATTTTCTGTTTTTATTTAATTTCTTGTAGTATTTATACCGTTAAAATATTTCTACTGTTCTTGAATTAAAAAGGGCTAATATATTTAAAAAATAAGCAAACTAGCCTATAGTGGCTATGCAATTTGTAAGAAAACTGTACGTGATGGATTTTTTTACTATTTTTGCCGTAATCAACGCTAAAAATACTACAAAAATCACTGGTAATAGTTCAGACAATTTTTCCGTCGCAGACCTGTGATATGTTTATACGGATACGGCAAATAGAAATATTTTATACAAATAAAACGACTTATGTATTAAATAGTAATCACCGCCTGATTTTTTCGTACATACCTATACTTTTTTATACTCTATACAGGGTCTCTCATACGACGGGAAGGCTCCAAGGAAAAAGACAGTTTGTATTGAAATGCAATTCTGTGAATTGGTTAATTTAAAGTATTTTTTTTTAAATTATAAAAAGTTCTACAGGGTGTCCCCAAAAAATGTTACACACCAAAGTTATGTTTTTTTTTGTAATTTAACACCCTATATATTAATTGAGTTCCAGATTTCAGGAAACAAATAAAGATGTGTTTCATAGAGACAATTTCCATGACTAAAATGTAAGATTTTTAACACATTTAAAATTTTCTAAAAATAAAGAAATTTTTTAAATTTGAAGCTACTGTAATTGAAATTTACTCGGAAATTAGTATTTCGAAGAGATATGAATTCTCCATTTAAATATCGGAATAATATACTAGTGAATGTTCCATTTGAAGTAATAGAGTAACTTGCTTATAAAAGTTATGTTCAATATTAATTTTATCTCAACGTGAATAACTTTTTAAGTCAAGTTTTAATTTGATTTACAGTACAATGGTTATTTTAACTACATTTTAGGAAATACTGGGTAAATTTGAATCTAGGTAGCCCCTCATTTACTGATATTTATTTTTTTTTTCTTTATTTTTAGAAAATTTTAAATACGTCAAAAACCTTACAATTTAGTCGTATGCTTCTGTAATAAAACTTCCCTTTACTTTTCTTTCTAGAATCCGGAAATCGATTGATATATAAGGTGTTCCATTACAAAAAAACACAACTTTGATGTATAAACTTTTTGGGGCACATTGCATAATACAGAACTCTATATATTTTTAAAAATGCGCTATTTATTCGGAGTTAGTAATTCCAAATAATTTATGTATTTCCCAAACTAAAAAGTTAAATTTATATATTATAATCAATGAGTTATTCTACACCAATAAAACGTCTTTAATTCATGCTCATTAACTAATATTAACGCTCAAGACAGCTGTTTATGACGTAGGTTTCTAGTTCAACTAATCCAACCGTCTATACACATATTTCCTTTAGTCAATTAATTCAAATCGATTTGAGCGCGAAGAGCAGCCACGACCTGCAACGCTGCTCGCAATTTCTTTCCACTAGCCGTGTGTAGTCCGTACCTGCGGCTAAGAAGAAGAATTTTCTCATTCTTATTTTGACAGCATTCTCGAGATACAGCAGCAACTGGTTTTTAGGTTTGAGGCAAGGTCACGGCAGGACCTTAGTGCCAATTCTGCCACCTCCCTGGTTAGTGGAGCACGCTGCGTGCGGATCGTGTTGTTGAATCTCGTGTTTACTGATGCAGAAGAAGAAATAGGGACGAGATGCTTCTTCCCGGAAGCGTTACCGACAGGTTTCAAGGGACGTATCCTCAAGTACTAGCGGCCATATCAGGTAGGTCATTTAATACCATTTTTTATTGCAATAAGAAAATTACAAAAATATTACTGCACAGGGTGTCCCATTTGTTTTATGAGGTTTCTCGTTTATGAGTAGATATACAAAGATGCGGTTTTCACATCACTGTGCTACTTTTTTGTGAAACTAAAGATGCTACACACATATTTCTTCTAGCCCCCTTATTTCCTGATATATGTATATGTAATATCATATATTCGTATCCTATAACTTATCAAAAATACGATAACTATGCTCCGTAGATTTTTTCACGTAGAATCCAGTATCGCAACTAGTTTTTCGCTGAGAGCGGTCATCATTGGCGTAACTACAGGGGTGCGCGGGGGGTGTGTGCCGGCCGGGCCCACCCCAGGTTCTGCTAGCACCCCCAGAGAAATCCTGTATTATGACTCTTGGCTTCGTATTAATTTTGCATTTTTTTTTTATTTTTGCAAATAATTATTTGCATGTGATGCATTAAAAAAATGGCGTTTTCTAGTTTTATTTAGTTGATATTATTTTGTTGTGTTCAAAAATGTGTTAATTTTGATTTTTTTTTTAGAAAATTTGTAGGTATTTAAGTAATCTACGGGATCACGGTTTGATAACCAAGTATATGAAATTTATTGATAGAGAAATTCATGTAAACGTTTTATTCAAAAAATGTGCTTTTTAAAATTATTTTTCATTAAAAAAAAACCAAAAGCTCTAGCCCTCCCCCGCCTGAGCTCAACCCCCCCCCTCGAAGCCCACCCCAGGATAAATTGCTGGTTACGCTAATGGCGGTCATTTTGATGGAAAATGAAACATGACATAATTTTTTTTTTAAGTGGAATATATGTATATACTTTTTTATATTATTTGTCTCATTATGAGCTTTCCAAATGTATACTCTAGTCTATACTTATCTTCATAAATAAGGTAAAAAAACGCATTATTTAACTTTTTACTTAAATCAACCTATTTTAATAGATCCGTTTCGTTGTCGTAATAAACTGCATGGAAAACGAACTTGTGCAGCTTTTAGCTAACGCCCCTGTCAATCAGAGATAATTTTGATGCACTTGCGCACTAATTCTACACGCAGAAACTAGCGTGGAATAGTCAATAACCAAAATTTGACGTTGAATTTTGATTGTTTTGACCTGCAGCTTATGCTAAAAGTAAAATAATGACTTTTTTTCCTAATTTAGGAAAATAAGTATCGAGTTAAGTATACTTTTGGGAGGTTTATAAAAAGACAAATAAAATAACAGAATAATATACATAGTATTCCATTAAAAAAATAAGTTTGGGTCATATTTCAAAAATGACAGCTCCCAGCAAAATCTAGTTAAACTCTATGGGACTAAGTTTTCAACTTTTCGATAAGTTATAAGAGAACCGAGATAGAAGGGCGTCGAAAAATACAACATTTTCAAATTTGACCTGTATTTCAGGCACTAAGAAGGTTAGGACAAATCTCTTTGTATCATCCTAAGTTTAATAAAAGAGTGGTAAAGAGATGGAAACCCCGCATCTTTGTAATTCTACTCATAAACAAGAAACCATGCAAAATACACGAAAATGGGACATCCTGTACAAAGTGTCCCATTTTTGTATGTTTTATGGGTTTGGGGATTCTCCTTTTTCAAAAATATTTTCACATTAAGAGGTATATCTGGAGTTATACTTCGAAAAATAGCCACATTTCTTTCTTTCGTGTTTTCGGTATTTCGACAGTAATTGGTGGAGTTTTGTAAACACTATCTTAACATATCCCCATAAGAAAGTCCTGACAAATAAATCAAGAGCATTTAAGTATTCTATTAAATGGTAAATGCCCAAACTACATTTAAAAATTATTAATTGAATCATATTAATACTCTCTAAAAATAATTATTCTACAGGGTCCGGCAATAGTGCGTCGGGTATCTGTAGCTCCTAGAATAAAACACTTGAGAATTTTGTTTAAGTGCAAACCTAAAGTATGTGTGAGAATTCGGAATGTGTGATTTCCGGAAAATATTTTAATTTCTATAGGGTGGCTCAAAAAGGTATGAGTGGATCTGGATGATTTTTTTTAAATGGAACACCCTGTATATTATTGCATTTTTGGCTTCGTTTCAGATCACTTTACATAATCCTAAGATATGAGTAAATCTATTTCGATAGTGTCAGAGATATTTAAAAATAAATCAAAAATATATATTTTTCAACCCTTCTTAAAAATATATTAAAAATACAAGAACTGTTCTGAAATCAAAACCATATTAGATATTTACTTTAGATGGTATGTTCTTACTTTGCTATAAATATGGTAATCGTAAATCATACAGGATGTTCAATATTTTACGCCAAACTTTCAAAAATATAAAATAATTTTTCGTCGTTTTTTTAAACGGAACACCCTGTATTTTATTTTTGTGTTTGATGGAGAATTAAAAAATGAACATTTTTTGTATTTAAAGTATTTCAAAATTTTTAATAGTTTTTCGGATACACACAGTATTATTTCATAGGGCGCTTTCACTGGTAAAACACGAGAAAAAAATCAACGGGTTGGCTTTGATCAAAATTTACTATGGAAAATGCCATATGAAATACAAAACCGGGAATATCTGCGAAACCGTTGTATCTGCGAAATACTCTAAATGCAAAAAATGTTCATTTTTTAATTCTCCATCTACTGAAAAAATAATTTACAGGGTGTTCCATTTAAAAAAAAAACAAAGAAAAATTATTTTATATTTTAGTAAGTTTGGCGTAGAATTTTGAACATCCTGTATGATTTACGACTTCCATATTTATAGCAAAGTAAGGACAGACAATCTAAAGTAAATATCTAATATAGTTTTGATTTCAGAACAGTTCTTGTATTATGAATATTTTTTTAAAAAAGGCTGAAAAATATATAATTTTTATTTATTTATTAATATCTCTGAAATTATCGAAATATATTTTACTTATGTCTTAGGATTATGTAAGTGATGTTAAGTGATCTGAAAGGAAGCCAAAAATGCGAATAAACAAAATATAAATAAACAAAATAAAAATATACAGGGTGTTCCATTTAAAAAAAATCATCCCGATCCACTGACACTTTTTTGAGCCACCCTATAGAAGTTAAAATATTTTCCTGAAATACATCCCAGTACATACTTTAGGTTTGCACTTAAACAAAATTCTCAAGTTTTTTATTCTAAGAGCTACAGATGCCCGACGCACTATTGTCGGACCCTGTATAAGATATTATGTTTCTATTTTCGCTAAATTTATAAGATATTTTTTTCCGTTCAACCCTGAAATGTAATAATATTTATTTTACCGAAATAAGAAAATTATTAAAATCTTACTGTACAGAGTGTCCAATTTTTGTGTGGTTTGTGGGTTTTATCATTTATGATTAGAGACAAAATATGAAACGGTTTTCACATCACTATTCCACATCACTATTCCATCTTTTATGGAACTAAAGATGCTATAATATGTTAGTTTTCGAAATATAGGGTGAAATCATAAACATTGCGTTTTTTGCCCCCTTCGTTTAATTGGATAATAAAAGGAATAGTATAATTTAATCAACGTGAAAATTTGTCTGTTGGTGTTTCCCTCGGTGTTTCCATGCTGGTTTCCGTGTGTTAAATTATTGCTCAAGTGCATCAAAAGTTTCAGCAACTCTGATGCATCTTGTCTAAAAGCTGCACTATAAATTCAAATTCAAATTCAAATTTCTTTATTAGACCCCATTAAGTTTTACAGAATAATATTAGTATTAATAAATGTGTGTCTAAAGGGATCGCACCGCGATTAAAAAACCGATACAATGGCACAAAGTGCCAGAGTGGTGCGACCCGAAATACAAAATAGAAATAAATTAAATTATAAAAATAAACAGAATTAAAAAAATTAAAATTATATGAAAAAGTGAAAATATAATTTTATCAGGGATGAGTGGAGATAAGCAGAGAGGCATAATGAAACAATGTAAAAACCGGAACAGCGACCAATGAGAACAAGATCTCACAAATCAGTCGAAGAAATTATAATATTTACGAATTTAGTAAATTATTTTTAATTTGTTTTTTATAATCTGTAAAGGATTGAAATTTAAAGTTATTAGAAATATTATTCCACAAATGTGGCGCTATGAAACTGAAAGATTTTTGGAAGTTAGCTGTTCGGTGTTGAGGAATTTTAAAATAATGCACTTGTCTAGTCGAATGATCATGGTCAACGTAGTGAAACAATGAGAACAAATAGGGAGGCTGCTCTGTAGTTAAAATTCGACAAATGAATGTCATTAAATGAAATTGTCGTCTGTTAGTCATGGATAAAATAGATAAATTTTTAAGATGTGGCGTTATATGATCTCTAAAAGGAATATTAAAAGAAAACCGTAGACACGAGTTTTGAGGTACCTTTTTAGTGCATTTATTAAGATAACACGATGAAAAAACAAAATTTTATCTCGTTAAATTAAGTAAAATAAATAATACGCTTTTATATAAAATATATTTAAAATATATATTTTTTTAATTATACAGGGTGGCGCACCTCATTCGCCTCGGTTGATTATACGAAAACGGAAAAATGTAGAAACAAAATATTTTATGGGTATATGTGTGGAGGCAATGTGTACAATTTAAAATTATTTTTATTTATAAAAACTGTGTTATTTCAAATGCAACACCCTATATTTTTTTAAATAAATCGAAGCAGATTGAAATGCTTTCTCAAACTATATTAAAGTTTCCTATACCTATCTATTTCATATTCTAAATAAAAACGATTTTTAAATTAAATGGCAATCAAGATGGCTGATATCGCCATGGCAATTTTCTAGTGACAGTTAGTAAAAAAGTAGTTTTCAAAATCGAAATTAGTTTATAGACTTTATTTAAATTTATACCAGTTTACTATTATTTAATTTACCTACAATAGTTTAATAAATAATATTTATTAATATATATTTATTATTCTATCAAGAAAAACGAAGAAGTATTTCTTTGTTTTAT